TTGATGTGTTGCCGTGGAGAGTGTAAGTTGTGTGTAGTGTAGTGTGTGTGTGTAATAACTCTGGTAAATATTGGCTGTGTGTGTGTGGTGTTGGTGGAGCTGCTGTTGGGTAGACTGTGGTTGTGTGTGTGGTGTGTGGTGATTGGCGGAGTTGTGGTGGCAGATTGTCGTTGAAGTATCTGTGTGATTGGACGGTGACAGCGTTACTAGACGTGTATTACAGTGTGCGTTGGGTGCTAGTTGGTGGCTGGATTGTGAATAAAGTGTGTAGGCTTTAATGATGTTCTAAGACTGGTTCGAATGTGCATTTAGTAGAGTTTGATTGTATTAGAAGTTTGGTTGATATGTGTAGTTAACTTGTACATGTAGTTGGGTTGAATGTAGCTTTTACGTGCACGTACAGACGACTGCCCCATAAACTTGAATGGAGTGTGTACAGAACACTGGATTGGATTTTGGTACGAATTTCTTACTTTGATATGATGCGCTAAAAAAAAAACAAGAGCAAGTCTAGTAGGTTTTTCATTTTGGGAACATTGGGAGGCATAAAGAATTGATTAATATATATATAAATATTTTTATTGCTTGTCTTCAATCATGTAGGTACGTCTGGGATGAAGGGAAGGAAAAGTGGTCTTCAGTAGCATCTGGGAAATTTATATTATTATTTGCTGAACACTTTAAACAATTAGGAGGCAAAACAGTGCAGAGATTTAAAAAAAAAAAAAAAGGCATAAGATAATTAGCATTATGAAAAACAGTAAGAGTCTCAGTTTCATGAATTACACATTAAATATAATAGATATTTTTGAAACCTAAGAATGTCTTTAATATTTCTTAAATATGATTACCAAAAAACATGACATACAAAAAGAAAGAAAAATAAAACAAAAAATCTCCTAAAGGCGAGAAAATTCACGCGCGACTTTTCTCTTCTTTCGATATGTTTTACATTATATAAGGTGGGGATAGAATAGTGTGAGCACGGCTTTTTTTTTACTGAACATTATTGTCGCGCCTCTGGCGCGGAGAGTGTCGTCTTCGGTACGGACACGGTGGATTAGGATTAAACTAAATATGGTATTAAGAGTTAAGGACGGAAGACGCCCACGTTTGATATAGTGTATTGTATATTGAATCAATATTTTTGTAAAAGAAAAATCAAGAGAGCCACTTCCACATTGCCTGAAATGCCCAGGAGAGGACATCTCCCCCCCCCCAGGTAATGGATTTCGGTCGAAGAGAGGAACAGGTCGCGAGAGGGTCCTTGTGCGGGAATCTCGGTGTCGGGTTCCAGGCAGGTGTACCCGGACCCTTGTATTGGGTATCTGTTGGCTTACCGAGGTACCGCAGGGGAGGGTCTGCTAATGTGAAGGACCCTAGGGTTTCATCTTCTTAGAGTATGATTTCTCTTTTGTTGGAATCGTTTTTTTTTTTTATGTCAGATTTTTGGGTGCGTGTTTTGTCAAAGTCTGTATGAATATAAATATCTCTGGAAGAAAATATGAATGAATATTATATGTATATTAATATATACATATGTGTGTGGTGTATGCGTGTCTTTTATGTATGGTGTAATATATATATATATATATTACTGATATATATTATATATAC